CTGCCTCGCCTCGAACTGCGCACGTGTACTGCCGCTCCGCACAGCTCCGGGACAGCACGTGAGCATTGTCTCGCCCGAACTGCGCATGCGCGCCGCCGCCCCGCACAGCTCCCGGAACCGCGCCTGCGCATTGTCTCTCCCCGAACTGCGCCTGCGCAGTGCCGGGCTGCAGCCCGCCCAGCAGACGGAGCGATGGCTGCGGAACCTTTTCTTTCTTTCTTTCTGTTTTATTTTGTAACAACAGTACGAAGCGGTTCCAGCGCCGCCCGCTCGCCTGCCCCGTGTAGGAGCGCTGCAGCCCCCGCGCTCCCGGCGCTGAGGGCCAGGTCTCACCCGACCCCACGCCGTCGGACGCCGTAAGCAGCGCTCGGCTGCCCGCAGCCCCGCCCGGCCCTCACAGCCTCGCAGCGCCGCCTTGCGGTTTCCCAGCAGCAGCACAGCTCCCTCCGTGAGGCAGAAGTGCTGCCATGGCAGCCAGCCCTGCCCCGAGCCAAGCAGGGGCTCGGCTTTCACTGGCTGTAGCTGCTGGGCCGCGTCTGCCTGCCCTCGCTCTGCCGCCTCGTCCACCAGCGCGGACCCCCTGCTCAGCCTCACATCGCGCTGCTTCAGGCCGCAGAAGCTCGGCCTGGCCAGCAGCAGTTAACCGGGGTATGGCACTATATGTGATTTTTAAAACCTGCTTGCTCCTTCTGAGCGGACTGTCCGCTGCCATGGCCCCGAGACCACGCAGTCCTAAGCACAGTGGGTACGGAGGAGACTTCAGCAGGAAGGCAATGGCTATGGGCAGTGGGGTTTCCAGTTGTGCGGCTCTGGACAAAAAAGTCCTAGGGCTTCAGTCTTCTTCTGATCTCAGCAGCAAGCTCTTCTCTTGGGATATCAACCTACAAAGAAAGCAGAAAGATCTGCCAGATCAGAAACAGTGCATCAGAAACATCCTGTTGCCAGGAGGAGCAGAGAGGTGATTGTTCCCCTATACTAAGCACTAGTGAGGCCACACCTCGAGTACTGTGTCCAGTTTTGGGCCCCTCACTGCAAGAAAGACATTGAGGCCCTGGAGCATGTCCAGAGGAGGGCAACAAAGCTGGTGAGGGGTCTGGAACACAGGCCTTATGAGGAAAGGATGAAGGAGCTGGGAATGTTCAGCCTGGAGGAGGCTCAGGGGAGACCTCACTGCTCTCTATAACTTCCTGAAGGGAGGCTATAGTGAGCTGGGGGTCGGCCTCTTCTCTCGTGTCATTAGTGATAGGACCAGAGGGAATGGTTTCAAGCTACAGCAGGGGAGATTCAAGCTGGACATTAGGAAGTATTACTTTTCAGAAAGGGTGGTCAGGCACTGGAATGGACTGCCCAGAGAGGTGGTGGAGTCACCGACCCTGGCGGTGTTCAAGGAAAGACTGGATGTGGTGTTGAAGGACATGGTTTAGTGGGAGCTATTGGTATTAGGTGAACGGTTGGACTGGATGATCTTTTAGGTCTTTTCCAACCTTGGTGATTCTATGATTCTATGATCCACAATACAGCTCTCCAGTGGAATTCCAGGAAAACCCAGAGCCTTTTGGGAGTGGCTGGATTTTGGAAACACCTCTGAAACTTGCTGTAGAGACATTCTCACCTCCTCTCTTGTTGCAACATCTCGCAGCTTGACAACTCCATCCCTCAGCTCTTGCTCTCCTATAATGGCAACAAGGGGGATGCCCATGTCTTCACAATACTGCAGCTGTTTTAGCAGTTTAGGGTCCTTTCTGTACATCATTTCTGCCTAGAAGGAAGCAGCGGGGAATCACCAGTGCAAATTTGCTCTGGTGGATCTTGGAACAAAACAGCAGGCACTACAACTCCGCAGAAATCTCAATGCTCCTGCAACCAGCAGTTGCCTTTAGTGCTCTGAAGTCTCTGGATCTCATGCAGACCCCGATGCTGCACAGCCAGCCAGTGGAGTCAGGCTCTGCTAAAACTTCACTGAGGCTCTCCCTCCCCAGCTCCTTCCAGCACCAAGCCCATACCCTGATTTTACCTTGATTCCTGCATCCCAGAGCTCAGAGATGAGCTTCAGTCTTGCACTGAGTAAATGTTTCTGAGGTGTAGCCACCATCACTTGTGTCTCAGTTGTTCGGACTTTCTCCCCTGCAGCCTGTGGGGACAGACACGTTCATGGAAGCGCCTGTGTCAGCTGAACGCACCTGGTAGCAGCAGCTCACTTATTTCATCACACTTGACCTAAAAATAACTGAGGGGCTTTCTCAGAAACCTCTTTAGTGATTGCTACCAACTGCTGCTCACAACTGTAACCTGATGGGCTCTGTGTTCTGCATGAATGTTTAGGCTTGAGATGACTCATCCTCGCCTCCAAAATCCTTCCCTCCTCAACTCTGTGGAGCTCAAGTTACAAATAACTGCTTCTGAGAGCTCTCCCCCATACAAAACACTGCCAGCAGCACCTACCTTCATTCTGTGCTCAAGGATGGAGAAGATCCTCTCAATCCCAATGCTGACCCCCACACATGGCACCTTCCGTCCCTTGGGATCAAATGTTCCCACCAGACCATCATAGCGACCACCTCCAGCCACGCTCCCAACGCTGACTGACTCCTCTCCATGGTCATTCTCCTGCTGCAGCAGGACAGCCTCAATGATCAGACCTGTGTAGTAATCCAGGCCTCGTGCCAGGCTCAGGTCAAAGGAGATCTGTAGTACACAAGAGAAGCCCCTTCAACAGCCATGGTCAGGGACCCAGGGCTGCCCAGCCAGCAGGGCAGCACCCCCTCCTGCCTCTGCTCCTCCTCACCTTCCCCGTGATGCCAAACAGCGTCAGGTACTCAAACAGCAGCTTCATGTCCCCCAGCCCCTCCTTGGCCAGCTTGTTCTGGGACAGCTTTGGGTCCTGGAGAAGCTGCTCAATCAGGTCCATGCCACCTGCAGGGACAAGTTGTGCCTCAGGTCAGACAGTGTGGCAGCACCTGCAATGACCCCAGCTGCTGTCTGCTGCTCTGTGCTCCTCCATCCCTGCCCAGGACACACCTGTCCCGGCCTGCCTGGCATGGAGGAGAGCAGCTGCACTCATGAGGAGCACAACAGAGCAGGAGGGAGGACAAGGGCTGGATCCCACTGTGCTCACCATGAAGCTGGACGTACTCCCCGATGCGATCTGCAGCCTCAGGTGAGAGTCCCTTCTCTCCTACCATCTCGCTCCTCACTTCTTCCCATGGCATCTACAAAGAAAATAAAGAGCATCTGTCACTGCAGAACATTCACATCAGCCACAGTCTCCAGAGGCCCCTGTATCCAGAACATATGCTGGAATGTAACATAATTGTCAGTGAGCAATCCTTACTAATGATCTCTGTGCATCTCACAGAGATTGTTAACTAAGATCATTGAAAATGCCAGGTCTTACTTTTAGCCACTGCTATCAGCCCAGAATCTCTTTGTATCCTTTACAATTACTAATAGCTTAATTATTTATGATAGTGCCCTGCACCTGACATCCAACCCGAGACTGGAAGTGATCTGCTGTAAGAGCACAACACTTACCTTGTCCAGCTTGTCCAGAGTAGAGCACATAGTTAAAAGTTTGCTCTCCGGGATGCCACAGATGGCAAACACGCCATTCAAAATTCGTCTGTCGTTAACCTGGGGGTTGGAGAAGCATGCTTAGCTCAAAGAAAATGTTCCACTGCAATTTCCTCCTGCCCTTGTCCAAGAAGTGCTAGAAGCACAGCTGCTGGGAGTCTGCTTGTGTCCTTTGACTGGTGTCTCAATCCCACATTACACCAGAGCCAGGAAGTGAAGGCACAGATGTGTAAAAAATACTTGACTCTGGTCTTACCTTAATGAGAAAATCCCCAATCTGCAGCTCGCTCAGGATCTCATGCACTATCTTCAGACACTCAGCATCAGGAATCATAGGGTCAAACTGGCCAGCAATGTCAAAATCCTGAGGCACAAGAAAAGGCAGAGACTCTGGCACAGCTCGGCAGCTGCTGAAGCCTGGCTCTCAGCTGTTCACCTATGCACTCTCCCCACTCCCCTTGCACAGGCCACAACACTCACGCACTGGTAGAACTCCCTGTAGCGGCCCCTGGTCATGGCCGGGTTGTCCCGTCTGTACACCTTTGCGATGTGGTACCGCTTGATGTTGGTGATTTTGTTCATTGCCAAATAGCGAGCGAAGGGCACCTGGGGGAGTGAAGAGTTAAGGGTGGGAACGAGGAAGATGCTCTGAGGTGCAAAAAGCTAAACCTCAATCTCCCCGTCTTTGGTTCACATCCAGAGCCGGTACAAACGCCTGAAGCACAGCCTGGTTGATGATGAGTACCACTATCACGAGAATGCTGTGCTCCTGTAGCACAGCTGCACTTCCTCCACAACCACAGCACATCAACATCTTGCCAATATGGAGTTCTACCAGGTCATTTTGCTTCCTTAAGGTGTGACACAAAGAAAATACAACATGTAGTGCACAAGAGCTTTTTAGGCATGTCGTGGAGATGGAGAAGGCCCAGGATGGATGCCTGCTTTCTATGCGCAGCAAACACTGCTGCTTTCTCAGAACTACCACAAGACTGGAAAGGTGGCATGGCCTGGACAGGAGGGCACAGAGCTGGGTACTGTACCAAGGAAGCAGTATGATCAGCAGTGTGGAGTGCACTGGATGAGCACAGACTAGGGATGAAAGAGTAATTTTGCTGCAGATACCAGACTGACTGGAAAGGATGCCAGTGGCTAGTGGGAAAGGGCTTTTGGCCACCCTGATGGGAAAAAGTTGGGATCAGCAGACAGGTCAGGACACGGA